TAGATTATTAAAAAATCAAATTGTTTAATCAGGCAAACAAATTAGCGAATTGAGAAACTACAAAAAAATAATAAAAAAAATCAGGCAAACTTACATTAATAAACTAAACCATCGAAAACGATTCAAAAGTTTAGAAATAAAAAAATGGAAAGCGTAATTTCTCCAGACTATCGGAAACTCACAGCCTCCTCTGCGTGCTGATTTTCTTTCTCAGAGGGAACTCGGTTTTTAAGGAGCCGTCTAAACAACAAGCGGAGTTATTGAATCGTCTCAGCTGAAGCGGAGTTATTGAATCGTCTCAGCTGGGAAAAAGATAAACCGTCAAGCAAATAAAAAATTACCAAAACTTAGAATCATAAACTTAGCGGAAAACTGCCATAAAAACGAAATAAAAACAAAAATAAATATCAGCACTACGAAAAAAAAATGAAATACGAAAAAAAAACTAACTGCCTAAACGGCACAAGTAATTGCGATGAATACGACTAGAAAGTTTAGATCCCGAATCGATAGTGATAGTGATAGGGCTACCACACTGTTGATGATGACTATTTAAAAAAATATAGAAATGATAGGGACGGAACCAAAAGCCAGCAGAGAAAGCAAATGATGGTATGGGGAAGATTCCAGCCCGACATTCAGGTGCTTGAACGTACTAGAAGTGACACTGTATGTGACATATATTATGTTCTATAAATGGATTCATAAATAACTTGAGAAAGTTGACTCTGAACACTCATCCGACAGTTGTCAGTAATGTAGGTCGAAAAAAGCTTATTTCTTTCGCAGGATTGATTTAGCCTTCGATTTATACTTAGGAATCACATGCTGATCATACTCAATGACCTTTTTTCCATTTTTGTCCATTCACTTGTCTCTGGAAGATTACGCGCTCCAAAGCGAGTTGCGGAACGCAGCCGCACTGGGCGCGAGAGCAAATTTCGCGCTGCTCTGTTGGAATATTTTGAATAGGCTCTTCTGAAAATTCACCAAAGGCTCACGTTTAGGTGGGAGACCATTAGTAAGCACATCAGTTTCTTTGGGTGATAGTTTTGGCCAGCGCATTTTCTCATTTGTGCCTTCCGAGCAGTATCCATGCTTCGCATTGCTTTTGGGCTCGAGAGATGCACTGGGTGGGCTGGATACCCCCTGTTACCTCCTTTTATCACCCTAGCTCCCACTTCCTCCTTTTTGGAACGAGTAGGGTAGAGTCTGCGTGGAATCTAGACTCCTTCAAACATTCGTTCCTAAGGGTAAGCTTGCTGCGAAACTCCCGGAAAGTAGTGGACCCTGTCGTTCACGACGTTGAAGGCATTCTCATGCTACCAGACTTTGATCTAAAATTCGTGCGAAAGTTCTTGGGACTGCTTTCCTTTCCCTTCTTGTATTCGCTGGGATTTTTACAGAATCCGAACCTTTTCTACTCCCGGATTTGTCGACACCACTCTGTCTGGAGCACTTTTAGTGGTAACACTCCAGGCTGTATACGTCGCCTTAAAAGATCACGACATTTAAGGCCAGATACAGCCTAAACATATGTGGTTCCAGAAGGAATGGCTTGCACTTCTGCTCGTCTTCATAGGTATGACGAAATTTAAACCGGTTTGGTCCTGAAACGATTCTCAAAACTGCGCGCTTTTTGCTGATCCTCGACTCCGCCTTCATCATTTATCTTTTTTTTTGAATCGTGAGCATCAGCGGTGTGGTAGTCTAATCAATATCGATGTAAGATCTTCACTTGCCGGTCGTATTCGCCACTTATTGTTTGTCTCGTTCAATCACTTTGCACTCTTTTATTGTCATACTTCCATCGCTAATCTATGGCAGTCCTCTAGAAATCATACTGATATTCATAGTTGCAGCATTTTAATATATTCATTTATTACATCAGATGGCTTCTGAAGACAGCGTTGTTTCTGGAAAAGAAAACCAACAGACAGAGGAGGCTGTGAGTTCGATGTAGTTACAAATTCCTTTTTCTCATACTCAAATACCAGGAATTCTACCATGATCTGTTTGTAGACGTTGAACATCCAGTCCTGCGTTTCATAGGTTTAGACGAGGACATAACCGTTTAATGGTCGTTTTGATTTTTTGGGTCCAGATAAGCGGAACCGGGATGGAGTATAAAATTTATGAACTAATTGTAAGGGTGTTAGGCCTTCTAAAAGTATAAGAAGGGAGTAGGCTAGCAAACTGAGGAGGTTGAGGGATGAAGGGGATGGGGTAGTCGTCAGTACGATAACGCTAACAACCATCTGGTCTGTGTTACTAATGTTTCCTCCTACCCCTACCCTCCCTCTATCCAACATAGCGCACCTATTGATTTGATTCTCAAGTGAAGGGGTATACTAGTCGGAGACGACATATTCCCGTTTTTATCAACACATTCGTGGCGGATCCGGTTTCTGGACGAACTAATGCAAGGGAACGTGCTGTTCTAACTTCAGAATTATTACTGCTAAGCAAATATATCAAATATTAAAGGGAGCAGTTGGAGTAAAGCTTCGTTTAGTAAATTTTGAAAAAGATTTTTGTAACCAATGTTAGGTTCTGATTTGAAATTCATTTCCAAATAGGTAATGGAAGATTGAAGCCGGGGATTCATTAAGTAGGTAGGAGATTTGTTGATTCAGAAGTTGGCTCAGGGTTGGTGTAAATGGGTCATATCTGGTACTCTAGAAGTTTCACCTCTAACGAATAATTTTCTGAGAGAAAAGTAGGGTTGAAAGTCGAAAGCAACTTGTTTATGAACTACTTATGTGCCCGTTTCCAGCATAAGGGGGCGGGTGACTCAGTCGTTGGGCTACCACAGGAGCTGCTTATTCGTCATCCCTTGCAATCAAGATGGGCACTATGGTATCTGAAGGCAGATAGAAATAAAGAATGGGAGGACTGTCTCAAGGTTTGTTTCATACCTGTATCTTTGATTTTATTGATGAGTTTATTGTTTCAGATGGTCTCCCTTTTTGATACCGTGGAAGACTTTTGGGCCCTCTATAATCATATACAGACGGCAAGTGGTCTGAACTGGGGCTCAGATTACTATCTCTTCAAGGAGGTATGCTTTTGAACTTTTTCTTTTTTTTGAACTTCAAAAGTTTCGCACTGATAAGCTGCTTATCGTTGCAAATGTTTCAAAAAAGGTGTTGCACTGTCCTTTATGCTTCAGGGTATAAAACCAATGTGGGAGGACGACAGCAATGTGAAAGGTGGACGCTGGCTTGTTGTGGTCGATAAGCAGGTAGGCTCAACTTCACTATTTATTTTCCATTGCTTCAGAATCGTAACATTTCATTTCAAGTGCTTTGTATTTCTGGTTCACAGCTTCTTTTTGTGGTGATAAGTAAAATAAATATCAAGTTGAATAAGTTTCGGTGATTACGGTCATTCAACATACGTACAATTATTCAACCAGGGCTAGTAGACCATTAGGAAGTCTAGTTAAGGAAGGAGTTAGCTGTATTGCTTCTGCATTCTTACTTAAACACCTTATTGAGGGTATTCAAACCTTTGGTTTTGTTAACAGCGGCAAGAGAGGAAGTATAACGAGCGTTTACATTCAAATTTCAATAATATGCTTCATAGACTTTGGAATTCCTCTTTTTGCTATGGTGCTACCAACAAAACCAGTGACTAACTTCGTTCTCCTATCGCATTTCTCTTTTGGTGTTCAGAAGTGAAACCGCGCAGCATGACTATTTATCATGACACAGTACTCGCCGCAGGTTATCTCGCCAAGTTCTTTAGATGTTTCAATCGTTCACCTTACTCCTCCTTTCCTGAAAGAAAATTCAGCATCGAGCTAGCAAAGTCTAACTAACGAGAAATTCCAAGAGAGTGACGANAGACCTCTCTAAGATTGTGTTTGAATCAAGTTGTGTTCAATCGACGTATAGGAGGGAATTCATCCTGGTAAGGTGGACCATCTTCATATAAGAGGCTAGGTGGACCATCTTCATATTAAGAGGCTATTTCTTTTATAAAAAGGTAGCGGTGAGCTTTCGGCTCCAAATTGCTTGGTATCATGGCAGTTACACTGTTAGAGTGTTTTAGCGGAGGTGTATGTATATGTCTAATGGGTGTCGATACTTTTTTTCTACCAATGGACCACATGTTGTGTAATTTCCATCATTTTTAGGTAGGAGTATATGATATAATTTGCTTGTAGCGTCGAGCTCAACTCCTCGACCATTATTGGCTGGAACTCCTCATGGCGATTATTGGTGAACAGTTTGAGGATTTGGGCGAGTACATCTGTGGAGCTGTAGTGAATGTACGGCAGAAAGGAGATAAGGTATGTGTATCAAGTTAGTCCCGTGTTTTTCATTCTAAGACTTTGTAGTCACTTTGTGATAGCCTTCTTATACGTTCTGTGATTGGTTTTGCGAATTCTGTCAAATTAAGTTTAAGCGAAAGTCTTCAGATTTTCTTTCTCTCCTAGTGTTCAGAACTTCTTTCTCTCCCAGCCACATGTTCTCCCATAACTTGCCTCAACTCTCCCAAACCTGTCTTTCTTATCAAAAACTTTGTGGCGATTACAATGGGAGGAGGGACTTATGTGGCGTTCCTTTCCACCCTTCTGTCTTCCTCGGAAAACGACTTATATCATAAGGCTTGCTGATGCTGCTTTCATTCAGAGCTATAGCGATTTATAACATATTAGCTTTGTAATTGAAAGTTTTTTTGACTTTGTGAATACTAAGAACAAGAAGTCTTGCGGACGCCGTCTTCCCGTCACTGATGCTGTAAATAGTATAAAGTTGCTTGGTTTTCTTCCTCTGCTGAGTGCGAAATGTTGAAGACTTCCTCTCACGGCATGATGGAAGGGTTGAATTATAAAAGCGCATAAATTTTTATTGAGACTCAGGTTCTGATTGGGGTTTAGATGGGGCTAAGCACTTTGCTACTGTATAGTGAAATTTGGGAGAAAGAAANTGTTAGACAGCCTCCGTGAGGTTTGAATGGAATCATTATTTGTTTATACCCAGGTGTGGAATAGAAGTTGATCTGAATAAGTGTTTTTATAGTTTTTCAGAATCTTCTCTTCCCTTCAATCACATTTAGGGTCGTTATTTTATCATGCCATTACTGCCAAACTTATCTTCTCGGTTTCACTGCCTCCTTCATCATCTATACCGCTGCTCAAGTCTAATCTGAGTGATGTAAGAAACAACCCTCATCGTTAGAACTAGTCCTTCGAGGATTTCGCTGGCCGTTTTGACTCAGATGATAGTTTCGATATTCAGGTATCCCTGTGGACTCGTGATGCTACGCGTGATGATGTGAATACTCGCATTGGGCTTGTGTTGAAGGCGAAGCTTGATATACCGGATTCTGAACCTCTTAGGTTGGTTTTTTGTTAGCGTTGCTACATCGACGATTACCGTCAATGGTGATTTTATAGATACGAGGTACATAAAGATTCGTCCGTGCGTACATCGTCGATGGTCAAGCCGCGTATCATGATTCCCAATAAAGAAGCTACTGCAACGGCTGCCCGTTAGGCCACATTTCCAATCTTTCGAAAACTGACCACAAAATGGTCAGCTAATTTGACGTTTCCATTAATCGTTATGTTTTGTTGTATTTAATATTGCCTTTGTGTGTGTAGATATACCGGTTATTCCGGTAGATTCTCGGGTGAAATCTGGACACCCTTCCAGCACACGATCGTCTCGATTGTGTGTCATGCTGGTGAATTTTTGCGATCGAGTGCACTTTTTGGTGTTCCTTGCTGTCCCTCCATTGGATGATGTCCTCTATTCAGTAATTTCTTGCAGTTTCTTGTTCATCGTTAATTTATGCTTCGGATATGGTGTCTCGAAATGGAGCAGAACGTAAGGAAACCTCCTTTTTCCCAGGGTTCGGTCTTTTGTTTAGCTCGAATTATTTTCATCTTCATTCATGGTAGCCAAGCTTCACCTATTTTGTGAACCATCGCTATTGCTCGAGTATTTGGGTATTTGGCGGTGTTCACTTTAGAAAAAGCAGACAGCCACTATCAGCGTTCGAAATGCGGGGTTGTCCCGGTTTTCTTTCATTCATCTCAGACATGTTTAAGTGTTACCGGTTAATTTTTTTCTAATGAATATGTTTTTTAATGCGGCTTGTATTATCCGAATTACATCCTAAATTAACATTAAATCTCTTTTCCTAGGCTTGAGCAAGACTTTATGTTATAGAAATAGAAATGCACTGGCGATGTGGTGACGACTATATCGTCTTTCGCAGACAGGATAGTTTCTGATCAACAGTGGAGCAAAAATTATCTGTCAAAGGTCTGAAGTGGTACTTGCAGAGCGACCAGACTGCTAAAAAGTGTGCTTTATACTGATGTCAAGTGTTGCAGACTGGAAGGAGAGGAAGTGGCGGGTCATAAAATTAAAGTAGTATAGTAACTGATTCTAATCAGCCAGCCCTCTTTGAGATGGGTATCATTTCTCTTCTGTCCGAGACCGTAGAAAGAAGTATGGGAATGGGTATTTGGTCTATAAACGGTGGTAGACAGTCTAGAGAGGGGAAAGACTGTTGTAAGGCCTGGTACTGCTCCCGGTTGACGATACTGAAGAGTTTATAATACGTCCTCATAGAACAGTGATAGTCCGATTTCACGAAAAACAGATCAAGTCGTAGTACTTTATGAAAAATATATACAAAAAAGTGGGAAATACAAACAATTCTCAACACAAGCTGCAATTGGCCTACAGCGTCGTGTCCAGGGCAGATTGTGAACTTTCGACCTCTTTCTCGTCATTGTACCAATCCCCGATAAGATCATGCGTTCGCAAGTTTCCTTGGGCGTTCCAGTTCCTACAAAAGCTAGCTTATTTTTAAGATTACTTTATCTCGTTACTTTCAAGGCTTTGAGTGAAGTGACCTACTTTGTACGGCGATTCATTCTGAAATTGTTGAGTAATATAAGAAGGCGCTGATAGACAGCTTCTTGATAGCGGCGAAGTTCTCTCGATCTGAAGGATCTGTTTAGTAATGTTTAACCACTTGGATTTTTTCAGCAGCTCGGATTGCTGCGAACTGTATCTTGAAAGACAGTAAGAAGAAATTAGAGCAAATAGAGGAAAAATAACAAAAAAGAAGCCTGATTTTCTCCTAGTAATCATAAAGGCTGTTTTCAGTTGATCGCCAAGTCCCCATTTAATGAATTACCATAAGAAATTATAAGACTGCCTCAAGGTGCCCTTACATGCGAGCAGTTCCAACTTGAAAAATGTTTGGCCACACCCATCAATTTTTTATAGTTCATATTTTCAATAGTTTTTGTTATTTCACATTTTTTTATATTAATACCGTTTTTACGATTTTTTTCAAAAATATTTTCACGGGCGATCGTTAGTTTGCAGATCAATTCTCATGTAGTTATCATCAAGAAGAACGTGATAAAAAGTACCTCAGTTCAGAGGGATGGTGAGCAGGAATGAAAAGTGAATGGCCAGGATTGCTGACTGGTTTGGTATTGAAGCTGGTCATCAAGTCGTTGTCTTCAAAACATGGCTCTGTAACGTGAGGGAAGTAGCAGTGGTAATCCACAGTCCTAGAAAAGCAGTAACCTGGGTATACTCTAGGTAACCTATACTCTGGTACGGTTGACAACTACGAGTTGGTTAGGCTAAGAAAATCTGTCACGATGATGGGGAGTAGGGAAAGGGTAATGGGAAGGCAGCGGAATTGCTCCTTCGAATCAAAAGGCTTAACCCAAACCAAACGGCATGTAATGGTGGGAATTTGACAGAGAAAATTCAGTCATTTTCAGCAAGCTTCAAAAGATACCACTGTCAATATGCTTCCAGGAAGATACCTGCTTTGTTGCCAGAAAGCCTTCGTCCTCGGTGAACAGTGTCCTCCGGGTTCCTGGAAATTTCGTTATTGAAGTATTACGTTCGGGCTCTCCCTGACTCGATAGAGTCCTACTCCTTTACTAACTTGCGACAGCCAAGTGGATCACGAGATGTTCGGCCTCGATTTGTCCAATAGCCCATATTGTACAAGAACAGTTCAAACGCATCTAGCCTAAAGGAACTTTTTAAAAATTTAAATTCAAAATGCTGGGTCCTTAATCTGTCCATTCGGTTATTTTTCAAAACCATATTTGAAAAGGGATCGACCAACGATTGCGCTCATGTAAAAAAAGGCGAATAATAGTAATAAATAAATAATATAAGTTATAAGTAATAATAGGATAATAATTTAATACAATTTCACTCTCGAATAGGTTCTATGAGTCCGAAATTACATGCTGATCATATTGCATTTTCCCGACCTTGGAGGAAGTTCTTCAGCTCTACTGAGCTCCTGTCGTCTGAGTAGGTCGTTGGAGGCGACATATCCGTCGGTTAATTTTTCACTCTCTAAAAATTAGGCCAACTTGTCAAACTGCTAAATTTCTCAAAAAAAGGGGGCCATACCTGAGGCGAAAGTACCTTGGGGAAGATATATATTCTGTCCGTAATCACTAGTGAAGGAATTAGGAAAGTTCGGTTGAATAACAAAAGAAACAACAAATAAACAACTGTTCACGAGCAATAGGCTAATATGCATGAACATCGTTGGCGATAAGAATGCTCGAAATGTTTGCCCTTCGTGAGGGGTTGTCGGCTGCTTTATGTGAGGGGACCACCTGACAGGCAGATCGGCCCTTGTTTCCATTCCTCATTCTTTTCGAAGAAACGAGGCAGAAGAATGAAATGATGTTAAATTGTTTATACTGGTGCTACTGAAAAGCCCATTGAGGGAAACAGTTCATAAATTTCAAGTATTTTTCAAATAGATGCTTCAAATAGAGGCTAAAAAGAATCTTCCCAATATTTGGAGCTCATGGAAGTCAACCCAGAATCTGTTTAAAAATAGGGATTAATACTGGTTTGTTCGAGGAAAGCTCTCTTTATAAGAGGTTAAATACTCGTTTGCCACTGACCAGGCTCGAGATGAGCCACACATCGCATTTTTTCGGAATTGTAGTAGTATTTTTATGTACAAGATTTATTTTATTAAGCGTGATGACATACTGAAGTACTATCGTGTACTTTTGTTTTTGTTGTATTGACTCATTTATTTTTTTAAATCCTAGATCCCCGGACTCATCTACACCGAACGAGGGTTACTGAGGTGAAGGAAGGCCCAGCTCTCACAGCTCCGCAGCGGACTAGCTCGTGCCAGAATTGAAGGAGGCACTTGACTAATTTCCAACTATACGGAAATCGAAATGCTTCGTTCTGAACAATCAGGTCATTGTACTTATTACAATTTAGTTTATTTTACTCTGTTTCTATTTACACGCATGATTTCATTTGTTGAATTTCAATTTTTTCTTCTTCCACGCTCCTAGGGACCGATGATGTCCACGGTGCAGGCTTATCCGTGAAAATCGGGAACGAAAGCAGATTGGCCTAAATAGAAGCACTTTCTTATGATCGAATTGTTTTGATAAAAAAAATTCTACCAGTTGAACCTAACTAAGAGCAAAGTTTTCAATATGGCCTGCGGATAGATCATATTACTTCTTTACATAAATTTATTTTTGGAGTCACAGTCGGCCATGTGTCATAATTTTTACGTAAGTTTGAAGTCCGTCGCCGAAAAATTTGATGTTTCGCACATCCCAACTTCAGGCACACCCGCCCATCGCCACGATCCTTCCAAAAATTTCTCCTATACTTCCATACTCTCCTTCTCCCTTCAACATAGTGCCTCTGCTTTTTTGGGTTTTTCTGGATCTGAAATGAATGTTTTCGACCCGACGGTCTCCTTTTCAAACAGAACTCTCACAGCCATTCCTTCAGGCCACATTTCTTGGGCGATACTGGAAATACTTAACTTATTCCAATACCTATTCGGCCTACTTTTGAAGACTCTCTGGTGATATGAGCATCATACTAAGAGATGACAAGTACTGAATAAGTTGATAATTGAACAGTTGTCGTAATTTGAAAAAAGTTACCAGAATCATAACGGCACCCGAGATGA